ACACTGCTGAATCTTACCCAGGAACAATAAATGTGCAGAGCCTGACTTTTTATGGGAGGTGCTTCCTCCCATTTAAAATGGTTAACGTTCTTCCTGATACAAAGCAGAGGCATTTGTGGAACAGTGTATAACATAATCAGATAAGAGGCACTGCATTCACAAATGAGATGAGAACAGATAAGTGAATTCAGGAAAATTATTCGTGGTTTGAAATTTCTCCAGTAATATCTAACAGCCGTTCTCAAATATTTCAGTTTGGTAGTGTTCTGAAGTCTGCCTGCTGTTCGTATTAGCCGTCATGTGGGATTACCTTCACAAGTGACACTGCTGCTTTGAAGACTGGAGTATTTAAGTGGAACTGTCATAAGTATTTCTGTAGCTTAAGTCATTTACTAGACTACTTAAAATATTCGTCGGTTGTGGAACAAGAGCATAAACATAAATTTTGCTTGTATGTGTAAATTAAAGCTTACAATCCTAGAAAGATTTTTGCTTTTTCCCTTTTGCTCTGCTAGTCAATAAACTTTGGTAGAAGTCTTGTGGTTTGGTGTAATAAATCAAAAGTCTGTTTACAGCATGATGAAGTCCTCTGATTAGTTTTCCTAATACTTAACTGTCAGGGAACATGGGCTGAGTGTTGAAAAATAGCAGTGAATAAAGATCCTGGCATCGGGTTTTGTTGTTGTTGATGTTAGGAAAGTTTGTTTTGCTGCGATGTCAGGAACCATTCGGAAAATTGAAAAGCGTGAGGTATAGTTTAACTCATGTGGCCGAGCAAACCTCAAAGGGACCTGAAAAAGTTGGTGCAAAATTCACACCTGTTAAGAAGGCCAGTGTAAAGCATCACTTCAAGCTCGACTTCAGATTTCAAAGTATAGCTTGAGTTGGATCTTGTGTAGGTATTGTGCTGTATTTTATTTAAAATGAATGAGAGGGTAACTCCCAGTTCAGTCTGGCATGCAGTATTAAGAAAGTCATCTTGAAATGGAAAAAAAAAAAAAAAAGAGCTGAATTTAGATATTTCTGTAAAGGACAGGAGATGAATAAGTTGCCTTCAACTTAGTTTGGCACTTAAAAACATGCTGAGTTGTCCAGGATGTGAGGCATTTAATTCCATAACCTTTTCTTCCAATTAGAAGGCACAGATCCTGATTGTGAGGAATTTGCATTTAAATATAAAATGTGGTGTCTCTGACATTGCTTTTACCTTCTCCCTGGTGATGCTCCTGACTGCACACTTCTCCCTTTCCTTCAGTGGGATGATTGCACCACTGCGCTTTAGTAATCATTTAACAGCTCTAATTACAGAATACTGTGATCCCAACTGTGTACTTTGTCCTTTTTCCCTTCTTAGTCTTCACTGTTGCTTTGGCGTCGAGAGGATCGCAAAAGAGCCGCTCTTCTTTGCAAAAATAAATTGCAAAGACCCCGCTTTGGTAACGTACGGATTTGCGTTTTCTTGTTGCTTCAGAGGTAGTGCCGTTGAGTTTTAGACGTGCAGGGGTTGGTCGGTCTGGCGTTGTTTACATCAGCCACGCCAGCAGCACTTCGCCGACGCTAATGCAGATGCACCAGCGTACAATTGGTGTAACTCCAACTCCTTGAAAATCAGTGGAGTTGCGCCAGTAGAAGTCAAATGTGACGCTGTTGGGTTTGTGCCTGAGTGCCTGTAACGGGGGTTAGGCAGTTTTCTGCTAGCGGAAGTCGGGTCGCAGTCAGGCTGTGCCTGGGCAGCATTTGTGGTGCTTGGGGAGTTTTGTTCCTTGTTTGTTCTTACACGGTGTCATCAGAAGTTCTTTTTCTTTTCTGCTTCAGGGTCATCAGTGTAGTAATGTGGGTGTAGTAAAGGCTTGGCATAACACAATTCATATAGGAAAAAGCATTGAGGTCATTCAGTTTCACTGCGAGCATGGGGTTAGTCCAGTGTGCCCAACCTCCTGTTCCTGGTGACATAGCCGCCTCTCGGTATCGAAGGAATGATGTGAAGTTTTTTAAGCCTGTTTTGTTCAGTGGCAGGGCGCTTTTTTTTCTTGTCATACCCTTCAGAAGCTTACAAACAGCACTTTGAGTGGAGTTTTGCTTCTCGGAGCAGAAAAATATGCTGAAAGGAACAATGTGTGTAGTGTTTATAACTCTTGTCTGCTGGGGCTTTGTTACCTGTTTACAGCTCCCCAGACTGGAGCTGCATCCCCTGCTACAGGGGCAGAGGAGAAGACACGAGCCTGTGTTGCCTCCCCAGGATCTGGTGGGATAGTGCAGTGAAGTCTCCATGTCTAGACTTTCCAGGGCTGGCTTGTTCAAGGCTGTACATGCACCTGACCAGCAGACTTGCATGCTTTATTATGGAACTGAAGGCATACGGTGCTGCCATGGCTGTTTTTAATAACACTCATTGCCATTTGGGTTTCCAGCCTTTAATTTTTCTGTGGATTTGGGGTTCCATTCTGTCCCTTGTAGCCTTGCAAGTCTCCTGAAGGCAATGCTGCTCGCGCTGCCGGATGGTGCTCCCAGGTATACACCTAGCTTTCAGAAGAGGTAGGTGTTAACAAAAGGGATGTTAAATATTCTTTCACAGAGGTAAAGCTGACAGCTGATTTTTGGAAATGAGACTGAGACCAACTGGAGGGAACGCAGCAGCACTGGAACTACACAGCACTCGCTCTGGCCAGCAGTAGAGCAGGACAGGGAGAGCAGCAAGTCCTGACTTCTGAGTGCTGGGTGTGTTTTTTATTCTGTTTTTTTAAAAAAAGGCTTTATACTGTGATTATATGAAATCCGTCCTCTCAAAAGAATTTCTGCTAAAAGCGTGGAAGGAAACAATATAAATATTTTTCTATTGGTCTCTGTCAACTGGCTCAAATCTAGCTGTTTTTCTTAAAAGTATCTGAGTATCCTTCCTTTTAGAGAACTTATGAACTGACAGTACATAGTCCTTGCTGAATGCAAAATGGCATACTTTGAAAGTGCGTTTCAAAAATTCTCTTATAGTGAGGTTGGCGTGTTCTGTTTTGCCTTTGTTTCCAGAATGCTGTCCTCCATAATGTAGAAGAGAAACTGTAATATTAAAATGAAATGTTAGTAATTTCCAATTAAAAAACCTTGCTGAAATAAATTCATTCCTGTGAAAAGCATCTTTTTAATCCAGTCAACGTTTTCTAACGTGTAGAAAACTCCTAATGCTTCTGGTGTATAATTGGTGAGGTGGAGTGTAGTATTCACCACAACATGGAGTGATTTCCAGGAGGAATTTCAGTAATTATTACTGCTGTTGTTGGAATACTAATAAACATCTTACTTTGGAAATATTTTATAGGTCAATTTTTTTTGGCAAGATGCTCTTCTAGTGGTAAATCAGCTTCAATGGTGCTCTTTACACCATCTGAGGAACTGGGTAACGTGCCTGAAAGATGCCCTAGAGATAGAATAATGAAGCATATTGTAAACTACAATAAATTCAATAAAATGTGTTATTGTCCTTGTTACATGTAGGTTTTTGAAAACAAGCTTCTTGCTTTCAGGAGATGAGAATTATTTTATAAATACAACTAAACCAATAGCAACTATATACAATAGGAAATGAAATAATATGGTTTGAGTGCTGAGTAGTTTTCTGATGTCAGAAGAAATAAGAGCCTTAATCAGGACGTATTGGACTGGTGTCTCACCTCAGACATGGTAACGGGCAGTATAAATACATATATTTATAAGCACATAAATCTCCTCCCTTCATCTTTGTATACAGAAAATGAAATGTGAAGGGGAGGACTTGCTCATTTTAGAGCAAACAAAACCAGGTGTGAAATACGGAGGCAGTTGTGTGTCTTTGCAAGCTGTGTAGCATAAGGAGGGAGGAGGAGGGAGTAGTAGGGTGCTGGGTTCCAGAGGACTATTTGCGCCTTGTAGAGGGACATTCCACGACCTGAACTGGGCACTTGGCTTTCTCCATGTCTGCTGAAGGAATGGTTTTGTGTAGGATCTCAGTTCGTGCACATGAACAGTGAGCTTCCTTTTACCGTTGCAGGGTACAGAGGTACCGGTACAGAAATTGCAGGGAAAAGCAGTGATTGCCATGCCATGTCAGTCATTCAGCTGTGTCACTAGGAACAGTTATTATTCTGTTCTGGGGGCAAATGACAAAACTACAGAAGAGAGACTGGGCACATGCAACAGTCTCATGCAGATTGGTTTCTTTTGTAGGCTAGCCAGAATTTTAGCGCACGAGCTGGCTGAGATTTTTGCTGCTAAACACATTGTTTTAGAATTTGCTTTAATGAAGTACCTACCCGGACATCTCCTCTTTGCTTTTTTTTTCCTCCTCATTGCCAGTATCTTAAACTCCCTCTTTTACCTCATCTCCATCATTTTCTGGTTCTTACCTATGGGTCTTATTAACTGAAATACATCAGTAGTTTTTGGACCAGTCCCTTGGATTCAGTTTGGAATTAGCATAGAGCCTTCTGTACAGATTTGTACTCTGATACCTAGGAGCTTCCTGCAGGGTGTTCACAAGACCTGACCATTAGGGAAATGAGCTGATGAGTACAAAATACTGTGAGGAGCTCCAGAGAGTTTCATGGCCTCCTCTCTCTGGAGGGTTAAAGGGCACTGGAGGCCAGGAGGAGTTTTTCCAGTCTCACTGATGTTCTCTGTGTTAGACTTCGTGGTCAGATGAGAAGTTGATGAGTAACATTTTTCTCCCTGGAGAGCAGCATGGTCAGATGAGAAGTTGATAACATTTTTCTCCCTGGAGAGCAGGTCTTCATGCTTGAACTGTTTTCAGTTTTCCAGGATGACAACACTTTAAAATAGTTTGGTCACCTTTCTTTTTCCCTTTTAATATGTTTGGGCTTTGTTTAACACTTGCAACATCATGGACGTAAATGCTCCCTTACGGATTATTATATTGTGTGCTTTGGAGGGAAGGAAATGTATTGCAAGGCTTCAGAGCTATAAAAGCAAGAGCTAAGGATGGTAGCGTGGTTTTTGTTTTGTCAAACCAGGCTGGGGGAGGTACCATCCTCTTGTGAAGAGCCTGTCAAATCACGCTTTGGGGCTGTGGAGAACTTAAATACCTAGGGAATGCCGGGGCTTAGTTACAAATCCATTCTAAGACAGCTTTTCCTTTACATAAGCAGATGGAAACTGGTTTCAGAGGAGGGAATTTCTTAGGTTTTGAAGCCCTGAAGAAAATTAATAAATTCATGTATTTTAAAGCCAGAGGGGGGAAGTATTATGATCGTCTTATCTGACCTGCTTCATAACTCAGGCCAGGGGAAGTCGCCTAATAACCCATTCATGAGCTCGCTCAAGCATGCTTGAAAAGACAAATGATTTGACAGAAATCGTTGTTCTACAAATGCGTGGGGGAGGCGGGTGGAGCATGTGACTAATTTCCTTTTGCATAAAAGGTCCAACCTGCGTTAATCCTAACTGCAAAGTGAATTTACAAATATATTTCTTCACTAAGGCTTTAGGTTTTATGCCGACGTAGGAGTAATACAAAATGCAGGCTTAAGACTTCTCTTGGAATTAAAAGCCAGTTAATTCCAGAATGCGCTGATTGTGTTCCTACTGTAGCTACTTAATAAGGGAACAGAAAATGTCAGTGTTTTGTTAAAACGAAGAGCTCTGAATCCTCTTTAGGAAAAGCTGAGGCACACACATAACACTGTAATAGCTGGAATGCAGCACGTGAGAAGATTCTTAGGGTTGGATGTGTGTGAGATGATGGATTTTTATGTTTTTAAAACACAGCTAACAAAATTTTGTCTTTAGACCAGGAAGAGAGATGTGGCAGAACTGATCAAAGAAAATAGCATCTCATTGATAAAACACATGCTGCAGTACTTCCCACAGTTGGAAGACTGTAGTATTTAACAACGGTGACCTAGATTGGAGGAGACAATAAAAGCTGTTGCAGTGAAGAGCAGATTGACTGCCATTCTCATCTGGGTAATAAACGGCTGAAATATGGACAGTATATGAAAGTTTACTAACGTAGCTTACATAAAGACCAATACTTTTGGAGGAATTGTCTCTGTGGCAAATTCAGTTTGAACTATAGATTGCATCTGACAGATGTTTATGTGCTCCTTTACAAAGATACCTATTACTTTATTCAAGGAGCTATGAGCCTGCGAGAGTATGACCTGATTAGGTTTTAAAGTAAATCAATATTTGAACCTGTCCAAAAATAGACATGCATTTATTTTTTAAAAATATTACTCAGTGGGATAGCCTCGAGGGGATATAGCTTTTCTGGGGAGTTTCAAATGAGATAGCAGTTGTATGTTGTTATTTTAAAATATTCAGTGCCATTACAATGCTACTATTTCAGCTCTCCTGTTGAAAGTAGCTGACAACAGGAGATGGCATTCTTGATGCTTTGTACCCTTAAGAGTCTTTTAAGACATTAAAATGTAGCTTAACTCCTGACCCTGGGGTGGGGTTTTTTTATTTGATTATAAATGGACCTATTAATAATATTTTTCTTTTGTTAAGTGGTTCATGTTAGCTGTTCTTGCAAAGTTACGCTCTTAACCTTTAGGTAAATATAAATCCAAATTCAAGAAAACAAACCGTCAATCCAGCTGTGACTTGAGGGATGTTTTAAGTAAGTGCCACTGAGCTGTAAAGACTGATGCATCCCTACTGTGCTGTAAAACTACGTATTATTAAACTGGGCTATGTGCAGGGGGAGGGGAGGGAGATGGGGATTGCGAGGGACATCTGTTCTCTGCAGAGCTTCCCTCCCTGCTTGCTGGGCGGATTTTGAGCGTAAGCGAGGAGGACCGTGGGTGGTAGGGTGGGTGGCTGCTTCGCAGTGAATGCATTGATCTGTGCTGGGGCCCAGCGGTCACTGCCCGGGGTGTCCCACCATTACCGTGTTAGGGGGCGAGACCTCTCCCTGTCCTTGGTCCTGTCCAACGAGCGCTTCAGATCCTGGAAGATTGTTGGTTTGGGGGCTTCCATCTTATTCTTTTTCTCTCTTTGGTCAACCTTAATTTGCCATGTCCTTTTCTACTCTTTTCCTAACTGAGAATGGTAATCAAAATGCTCTCAGTTTATTCAGGTAATTCAAGAGTTGTATTTAGCAAGCACTGCAACTTTGATTTGTAAGTTGCTTTATTTTTCCTTCTTTTTTGCTTTGCGGTACTTATTCAGACTCCAGTTCAGCAGATTTTGAAAAGCTATCTTTGAATATTCTATAATACACATGCACACAAGATTTGAAGAGCTTATTAAAGAAAGCCCCTGACACACTTCAGCAATATTAAATCACTTCAGACAGTGCATGGCAGTGTAATGTTACTGAAGCATTTAAAAATGTTAGAAGATCCTGGATTTGAAAGTACTAGAGGCTTCACAGCCCTTCCTGTGAAAAGTGATTTAAACTGTCAAAATTATTTTAGTGTTTGCAGTGTAATATTTTCTTAAATGACAGAGAAGAGATATTAAAAAATAACTATAACTGTAGTTAATCTCTGGCCAGCTAACCAGCTGATATGCTGGGTTAATTTCTTTATTAAATGCTAATTTAATAACTGGGCAGCTATTCAGACAGGCCAGATGGACTCCACTGTGATTGTGCTAATAATGGAAACTTTCACAAAAAGAAAGAGCAACAAGAAGATGCATTTAGTGAGGGACCATCAGGAGAAGCGTCTTCGGGATGCTCTGCCCTCAGCAGGCTGGCTGAAGTAGGTGGCTCACCCTTCAGCGCAAGAAGGGCCGGCAGTAAGAATTGGAGTAACGCTTTATTTTTTGCTTGGTTGTTTATTCGTTGCCTCCGCAGCCCATACGCCCCCAGTCCTACGTGCAGCTTGCAGCCTGTCTCCCTCATCCTGCTCCAGCACATTCCTG